CCTGCCTGCCTCTGCCTCCCAAGTTCTGGCATTAAAGGCATGTGCCACCACTGCCCGGCTGAGATTCTTGACTCTTGAAGGTGCTGAGAATAAGTGCTCAGTGTTAAACAGGATGTTTGCACTCCCCATTCTCAGACTCAGGGATCATCATAGAAGAAAGCACCAAAAGGAATATATGAACTAGAAAACAGGGAGATTGTATTTTTTTTAACTCTTTGGGGACCCGCCACCCAGTCCCAAGTAAATATACGAAGACTTACTCTTACTTATAAATGCCTGGCTTTAGCTTGGCTTTTTTGTAGTCAGCTTTCTTAACTTTAAATTATCCTATCTACCCTTTGCCTCTGAGCTTTTACCTTTATCTATTCTATATACCTTTCCTTCCTTCTTACTTACTCCATGGTTGACTGTGTGGCTGGGTGGCTGGCTCCTGGTGTCCTCCTCTCCTCCTTTTCTCACTCATTTCTCTCATCTCATTCTCCAGATTTCTCCCATTTATTCTGTCTGCCTGCCAGCCCTGCCCATTTCTATATTCTGCCTAGCTATTGGCCATTGAGCTCTTTATTGGAACAAGCAGGTGTTTTAGACAGGCAAAGTAACACAGCTTTACAGAGTTAAGCAAATGCAACATAATAGAATGGATCATTAAAACAAATGTTCCACAGCATACACAAATGTAACACATCGTTAACCAACACATATTCCACAACAAGAGATGGGTTGTAAAATGTCTTCAAGGCATGTGCAGCCAAGGCTGTCTTGACCTCATAGAAGCTATGGCTACTTGGAGTGGGCCTGCACATCACTGAAGCTATCGACCTTTAGTCATCAACTGGGAGGGGCCCCCTTATCCCCACTTTTCCCTTCTGAATTGTTGGTTACTGATGGGTTCTGGAGGAAGTGTAGTCATTGTTTTCCATTGTGTGTTCACTAAGGAGCCCACAGTCTTCAATGGATGCATAGATGATAACTGGGCCTAGAAAGAAGGAAAAGAAAAGGAGACAAAAGAATGTGGGACTTATGGGGACGCAATACAGGAAGGAGAAAGACTAGAGAAAGTGATATTTTGTTGTTTTGAAACAGGGTCTCTCTCTGTAGCCCTCACTGTCCTAGAACTCACTGTGTAGACCAGGCTGGTCCCAAACTCACAGAGGTCTATCTGTCTATGCCTCTCCTGTGCTGGAATTAAAGGCATACATCACCATGCCTAGCTAGGTGAGGAATTTTGTAATCATAAGGTACTTTGAAATTGTCAAAAATGCAAATAAAAGTTGTAAAAAAAACCCTACAAAACTTGGTGACTTAATGGATTGGAGACAAATCAAAGACTAAGAAAAAGATGAATAATGGAACTTGAAATCACAAATTAAAATGTGTTTGTATAGTTTAATGTGTGGAATTAATGCAGTTAACAATGCTTTCTGCTAACTGTAGATGGTGTTAATGACAAAATTGGACATTTTAGCCATGGATGTGTGTTCATTCTCCAGATTAGCAAATATTAGAAGTATGGGATTTCTATCAAAGCTAGTTAAGAATAAAGATGGAGTATAGTATGGAACTCACATCTCTCATACTTGAATGTCCATGTGGGAGATGAAAATGGGTGGCCTAAGTAATATAGTATACTTCATAACAGATCCATAATAGTTATTATAGGAAATCAGGGATTTTATTTTGAGTTCCTATCTCATAAGATTCTTTTGCTGAGAAGATACCATATAGATATACAGTTTTATACCCTGATGAAATGGGTGTGTCATGTGATTTTATTCTTATGCTGCATAAACTTGGCATTTTCTACCTTATATGAATTTTTCATTCCTGCTTTATGATATTTTTATTGTTTGTTTGTTTATTTGTTTGAGACAGGGTTTCTCTGAGTTTTGGTGCCTATCCTGGATCTCGCTCTGTAGACCAGGCTGGCCTCAAACTCACAGAGATCCACCTGGCTTTGCCTCCAAGTGCTGGGATTAAAGGTGTGTCCCACCACCGCCCAGCTGTATGATATTTTTAAAAGTTTTAGAGAGCGAGCAAGTGCGTGCGTGCGTGCGTGTGATCCTGAAGATCAGAAAAGGGCATTTGACCCCCTGGAACTGGAATTTCAAGGGGATGTGAACCACCATGTAGGGGTTGAGACCAAATCTGGGCACTCAGCCGAGGATCAGTGAATGCTCTTAATTGCTGAGCCATTTTTCCAGCCCTCATATGAATTTCTTACATTATATATGGATTACTGATATACTCAATGACTAGTATGACTTAACTGCTTTAAATTTATAACCAGATGAAGAAAGAAAAAGTAGCAAGATTTACATTCTTGCCATTTAAAAGGGTGTACTTGTGAGTTGAAAATAATACTTCTTTTTAAAATGAACACATTTATGCTTTCTTTAGGCTGGGATGATTAAAAGTGATACTGAAGAGTATTTCATTGAGCCCTTGGAAAGAGGTAAGCAGATGGAGGAAGCGAAAGGAAGAATTCACGTTGTCTACAAGAGATCAGCCCTGGAGCAAGCTCCCAGAGATGTGTCTGAAGACTCCTACTACAGGGGTAGGCATCTTAACAAGGTTTAATAATTAAACACAGATGTAAGGGATGATGAAAACAACCCTTACATCAGTCAAGAGAACTTGATTGGCATGTGCTCTTGCAAGATGTGGAAACTGAACAGAAATTTGTGTTATAATCATCATGTTTAGCTTTTCTTTTCTCATGTTGAGGCGTTCTATGCCAGTGAGTGATTACATGTCAGTACACTTTTCATGATTTATTTTAAAAGGTGTCCACTAAAATTATGGTCTTTTAGCCTATCTTAAAGTTTGCAATTATTTATTTTTTCCAGAAATATTTAAACTATGCACTATTTGTGTCATTGTAGAAGTTCCTAAGTGAGATGTATTAATACAACAAAGTTATGTTTTAACACCAATCCGATAGCTGCTTGACTTTGAAGTCTATTTGGCACAACATAAATAAATAAAAAAAAAAAAACCAACCAAATAAATAACTTTTCTTGTTTGGTGGGGAAATAAGTTAAATATTTCTATAGAATTTTATTTTTAGATAGATTGGAAATGTAAACATTATGGTCCCTGAAGTTTTTCTGATTTTGTTGGTGTAATGAAACCTGAGCATAGCTACAGAAGACTTTAGCTCACATCTGCAAAGGGGAACAGACACTCCAAGCTGGACCTGACCACTCCCTTCCAAGCTAAACCCAATCACTCCCTTCCAAGCGGAATCCCATCACTCCTGCCCACGATGAACCCCATTAATTCCTTTCAAGCTGAAATCCATCACTTCCTTCCAAGATGAACCTGATCACTCCCTTCCAAGCTCTACCCCATCCCTTCAAGTTCCTTATGGATTTCTATAAATGTTAGTCCCTATGACTTTCACAGGAGTGAAATCGTACTTTATTTTTGAAATAAGAAAATTTCAAGAGCTGTTGTGTTTTATAGAATGGGAATGGGTTGGGTGTGGCTCTGACATGGGACACTTGCCTAAGCATTCACAAGGCCCTGAGTTTGTTTCCCAGCAAACACACACACACACACACACACACACACACACACACACACACAGAGAGAGAGAGAGAGAGAGAGAGAGAGAGAGAGAGGAAAGCAATATATTAATGACAATGGATAGATTATTTCTGGCAGTTATTGAAAATATTAGTTCTGGCAGCGCCAGCACACCCAGTTTATGATAAAGGTGGTTTATACCAATACACACAGTGGAGACTGACTTCCTTAATCATGACAAGAAGTTGGCCTTATAGTGAAAATAGACCATGGGCTAAAGTCACCCACTTAGGAGCGGCTTGCCGTGGCCACGGGAGGAGGTGAAGCAGTTTGTTTCCTCACTCTCAGTTAACTCGGAACGTGTACCAGGATATCCCAAGATAAACCTGAACATGAAATGAATGGGCTTTATTTTCATGTTTATGGTACTCTGATTTAGCTACTGGTGATTTCAGCTAATCTCGTCTTAAGTATATCTAGTTGTTTAATCAGGAATTTAACTTTCTTCCCTAGGGCAAGAAGAGTTCAGATTCATAAATTTGAACACCAGACTACAGCTTTTCAATTCTCTTCTTGTCAAAGGACTAGAGAGGTCAATATTTTTATAGATGAAATATAGTCCACATATACATTAGGAATATATTTTTATAACATATTTCATCATATAGAACTGTACTGAGTTAAAAAGGTGTATTGATTTATAAATGAACACTAAAATGCTGTATAAAGTAGTACTTTTCTGGATCAAGCTGAGGTTCCATCTTATGCGATGCATCAGTCTATAAGCGGTTACTTGTGACCTGCAAAGCTTCCCCATGGGGCCTGTAGAAACAGTTCATCATATTTTCTTCTGTCTCAGTGATTGCCTAGCTACTTCTTGAAGCCTTTTGTAGTTCAGCTGCTCAGACGTGCTATATGTCTGGCTTAGAATTGGTTGTAACTGTTCTAAACTAACACAGATCAGAGCCCTGAACAGGAGTGATGGGTAACATGAGAACAAATAACGAGACAGAGCCCTGGTGCCAAAGGAAAACAGAGATTGAAGTAAAATGGATAGGGTTTTGTGATAGAGTAGATCTTGGGGCTGGGAGAGGGAAGAGAGGCAAGAATCTAACGTATCTCAGAGTTCTAATTTGAGACCAGAGAAATCTCTCTCCAGAATTAGAGCATATAAAATGTGAACAGAAAGAGGCTCCGTGTGGTTGGCACATGGGGATGATATGAATGTAACTTTGGGGATCCATTGGAAACAGTGAGGACATTTTACAGTTTCCTTTGTGGGTGACTGTTGCGGGAGAAGCCAGCAGCTGTGTGTTCGTGTGTGCTGTCCTTTTCCTAAGCACCTCCCTCTCACTCCCTCATTGCCCATGTTTAAATCTGTATTGGGACAGTTTCTATTAAACTCCAACTTTGCTCTAAACATGCAATATATGTTCTCATAATTGCTTGATGGGGCAGTGTGGGAAGGATGAATAGAGACGACCAAGAGAGGCGAGGGTATGGGTTGGCTTATGATGCTTAGGGCTGTCCCTGCTTGCCTTCTCCTCTTTTATCACTGAGCATCCGAAGGACACAATGTTGAGAATTGGGAACCCTTAAAAGATATTGTCTGTCTACAACTTTAGATGAGGAGGGCATTGTGTCCTCAAAACAAAAACAAAATTAAAACTAGAATTGGAATGAAATAAAAATGTTACTATTTCTCTCAAAACCCCAAGGTTTCCTGTTTGAGAAGATGCAAACATGTATTTCCATTTCCTGTTTCCGAGAACATTTGTCTGAGTCATCAGAAGAAGCCATAGCTTTGAACCCATTGGTATATGGTACAACTCACCAACAACAAGACCCTCAGTTAACTCAGTCATCTTTTGTCTCAACTCTTAAGTTGGGGAAGTTCTGTTGTCTTTGAAATGCAAAAAACTGGAAGACTTATCCAGAAATACCATGAATTTGGTACACAAATCACAACCATGGAGCTTGACTTTTTTTTTTTTTACTTTCTTTTTTATTTATTCTATGTGTCTTTTACATCATGTATCTTGGTCACATTCATTTCCCCATTCCTTTGCATCCACCCTCCATCCCTGCACACACACCCCCAAATAAAACCAAATTTAAGAGAAAAAATTAAAAATATCATCATGGGAGCTGCAGTGTGACTCATGCAGTAGACACTTTTGTCCTTATACCTTTACTTGCAAAGTTCATTGCAAAGAGTCATTGGTCTGGTTCGATGCCTCTGGTTTCTACTACACTATCAATGCTGGGCCTTGACTAGTACTCTTCTTGGATATTGTTGCCCCGTGTTGTGGAGATCCGGCAGCTTAGGGTTTGTGGTTAGGTCCCTTCATGTGCTCCAGCAGATCATAGATGGGTGGATGTTGAGGCAGGCCAAGTCTTAACCCTGGTTCTGGGCCTGGATAGCTGCAGGGTTGTTCCACCAGCCAGTTCTCCCCTGACCGCACCACCAGGGTGAGCTCTCCACCATTGCCCTGGCATAATCCAACATTGCCCCTGCTAGGAGCTCTGCTTTTAAATAACTGCTTACAAAAGAGACCTCCAGGTCTGTGGAGCTGTCTCATGAAGGGCCAAATTCAGATTTCCACCACCCAAATGAAAACCAGGCATGGTGGTATGTGTCTATATCCCAATGCTGGTGAAATGGAGACAGGTGGATCTTGAGCACTACCAACCAGCCTGCCCAGCCAAAATGGCCAGCTCCAGGTTTAGCAAAAAACCCTGTGTCAAAAATTAAGGTGGAGAGTAATAGAGGAAGATACCCAAAGCTGAGCTCTGGCACCACATGCACCGGCAAGCATCCCCCATCACAACCCTTAAATAAGCACAATTTGAGACCCCCCAGGACTTTAACATTGTCACTTTGAGTTTTGGTCAGTGCAGAGTTGGCGGTTTGGGCAAAGTATAAATCTTCCTGTCCCTGTTGGGGGGTGCGCCATCCTTCAGGTTAGCAATAAACAAGAGCTTGGCACACTTGTGATAGAGATGCTTTTCCATCTCATCATGACCTCTACGTCATCATGATGGGAGAGTTTGATTTGCTTCTCTCTGATCATTGCTACAGGAGTGGAGGATTGTCCATTTTTTTTTGACATCTGTAGATTTTCTGTCTGAATTTGTTTATGACATTACAATTGATAATGATATCAGAATTCAAAATTAACCTCCACTATTCAGTCATTTGTCTAAACTCAGATTTAAAATTCTCTCTCTCTCTCTCTCTCTCTCTCTCTCTCTCTCTCTCTCTCTCTCTCTCACCAGCCCTAAAGACTGCTCACACTGTCCTCATCAGAGATTTGCTCCAGGCAGTCTATGGGGAGTGGGGGGGATGCTTGCATGGCATCATTCAGCTTTTCATATTTTGTATTGAGTCTCTAGGCCCCTAGGCTTCTCTCCTCACATTACAAGCTATTCATTCACCAGTAGCTCTATGTTAAAGTAATTTTTGTAATTACTTCCTACCAGTGGGAAGCAAGGACTCGTAAGCCTTTATCTCCTAGCTTCCTTTCAGAGTTTTTCATTTTTCTACAGGAACCCAAGTGCTTGTGTCGCTGATGTGGTTGTCATGGTGCCCTGAAGGAGTGTCTTTGTCGCAGGTGGGAAACATGGAGTAGTCCGAAATGATTTAGGAGTTGCTCCTGGTTACTGGGGAGGGGAACTGCAGAACAAGCAGTAGTAATGGGAAGACTTAGCCTTGGTGATGCTAGGGACTGGGTAGATGCCGAGTCTTCTTTGAATTTAGACATGTGAATAGGTGCCCTAACCCTCTGCTTTGGGAGATCCTCATGATCTATGTGTGGATTAAAGAGAATCCTTGATGGGCTTTGTAAAAGGAAAATATGAAATGATAGAAATTAATTTTAGCAGATAATTTTATTAGTAAATGATGCATGGAGGGTGTTACTATAATATGAAGATACATCATTGAGCAAATATTCCTTTAGTGTTCGATTATAAACTTTCTCAGCTAGTGGTTTATAATCTAATCTGAGATCATTTGTTGAGCTA